CACCACAGTCTTTTCTCTTGAAACATTTCTGATAAAGTATAAATCACACCTTTATGTGGCTTTTCCTAGTGGGTTTTGTTGTCCCTTTCTCCTTGTTCTGTAATTTAATGAATAGGTCCGACCTTAATGAAGTATTGAGCAAATTGCTGCTTGGCACATACAAGTGAGGGGAAGACGACGACAGACTGCCAGCTGGACTGCCTTCTATTGTAATGCTCACTGGTTGACAAAAAATAAGATATAATAAAGTAAAAACAAAGACTTGACTAGACGAGTCTCAGTTGACTGACAGGTCTCTGGACTAATAACTCCACTATTCGACTGTTTGGGGGCAGCCCTATTAAACATTTAATGTCAGTATCTTTTATCTAGTTGGATTTTTAAATACGCAAAGGCCTTAAAGGTGTTTCTCTTTTGCTTCATACAGTTTGACAGTTGGACTAAGCTCTCTTGTAAAAGAAGCAAATCTTTGCCTCACTTACGGATGACAGTTATGTAACAGCTTTTACTTTGTTAATGTATTTTAGTTGGTCTTGTGCATTTGGACTCAGTCTAACAGAGAAATCAGTGGAGATGGGCAAAGAAAGAGCATGAAATGAAGCCAAATGAAGGCTGTTGCTTGAATCCATAATAGGCCTGTACAGCTATTGATCTATTCCAGGCATGGCAATCATCTACACATACAGGCTGTGCCTATCTGCATCTCATTCTGCATATCATATCACGTGCATATCATTTCTTCTCTGTCTAATTTGCCCCCGCTCCTCCACTGCCTTCCACAAACTCAGGCCTCCTCTACGTGCATGCTGTTTGCTGTCCAGTGGGTTTGAGACTCAGCCAGCTTCTCCTCAGTTGTGTTGTGATGTGCTCCCTAGGCCATGCCCATGCATTTTCACTCTCCTCTCTCTCCTCCTCTCACTGTTCTTGTTCATCTCATTTTCCTTTTGTGTTGCACCCACGGGCAGACTTTTATGTCGCACTAAAGAGCACAGTCAGAGAAAAGCTGCGTCAGTGTGTCTCTAACCTTTTGGTGTATTTAACCTTGTGGAGGGCAAGGCTGTAGGGCAAGGGTTATTTCACAAAGGAAGTACTCTTTTTATACACACCCACACACACTGAGCCTGCCCACCTTCAGCATTGTCATGTATGAATTCAGCCCTGTCACTTCAGTATCAAACATCACCTCCATTTGCACAACTTCTTTTTCACTCTCATTTTGTGTGTATATGTCTGTCTGTGTGTGAGCATGTGTGAGTGTGTGTGTGTGTGTGTGTGTGTTCCCTGGTTGCTGTGTTAATGTGCCTGTTCAACAGTGTGGTACAGTGGACGAGCTGGCTCATGATACATGGTTAAGTGTCGATGACAGGAGGGATAGGGCCAAGGCGGGTTAGTCCAGGGCTTTGATGATGTCAAGACAGAGGGGAGAACAGCTTGTAGATGAGACACACACACACACACACACACACACACACACACACACACACAAGGTTCCTCTGTTTTGTTTTGTTCTGCCGGCTCTGATGAACTGGCACACAGCCTACTCCCATCTCCTCCTCATCTCTTCGTAATCAGGATACCTATGAGACAGACAGGTAGCATCTGTCGCCCTCCCTCTCTTGATCCTTCCCTCCCTCTGTTTCTTCATCTCCCCCTCTTCTACACCACTGTGTTTAATTTCCCTTGACCATGGAATGATGCGATAATGTACAAGTTGTGCCATAGAATCAAAATCACACACAGACAGAACTGGGATGCTAAGGAATATTTTCCAGCAGATGATTCGGAGACGGCTTGTGACTCGTGTTAAATGTTCTCCTTCCACTGTTTATCTTTATAGGATCTTTGGGGTTAGACCTATAAGATGATGGTAAGAAAAGCTTCACCATTAGGTTTTTGAAGTTAAACAGTTGCAGTTATTATGGTGGAGGCCTCTCTCGAGTCCATTCAGCTGCTCGGTGAAGCTGCCATCATCTGCTTATTCCGCTCTAGACTCCTTCAGATCTGTTGGGCCACGATGGAGCGAACGGCTCTGATGGTTTGGTTTTGAACGGGGCCTCAAAGTTGATTAGCATATTTTCAGCCGGTGTACAGACCCTCCACCTCCCCCAAATGTGTTTGATTCTTCGGCCATGACAAAGAGCTGCACCCTTTATCCGTGTGTGTGTTGTGAGATGGGGGGCCCTTAGATTAAGGGAAAGCTTCCTGCTCTTTGTCTGGGGAGTCCTCATGGGAGACACTTTGAGAATGACTTGCGATGAGTCACGCCTACTCACACACACATGTATACTGGTGCGCTTCTACACACACACGCACCTTTTTTTCAGCTTCCCATTGACTCTGTGTGGTTGTTGTGTAACACTAACTCTGTGTGCATGGAAACACACAAACGTCACCTAGAGGCCCCCCAGTGTGTTCACAGTAGGTGAGCACTGCAGTGGTTTCCCACTTTCTTCTCTATACTTAACTAACCAAAACTAACTACAGTAGAATAACTCTTACTCTAGCGTGACAGTGAGAAACAACACACACGCGTACATGCAAGATTCTGGTAGTAGATGACAAACTGTGGTACACTGACTTTTAGCTGCCACCACATAGTAAATTTAAGAGCATTAGTCAAAGTGACAAACAGAGAGAAAAGTATTCAACTGAAAATATTGACATGAACCACTCAAAAGTATTTAAAGCCTTAAATGAACATGCCACAACAATAATCACAGATTCAACCATCATCCGTGTTTGCACTCTAGTTTACACAGTGTACACACTGTAGGTAGGTAGCAGTGCTCGGCAGTAACTAGTTACTGTATGTAAATTACAAAATAAATGTAATTGTAATCAGTTGCAGTTACTGAGACAAAATATGTCATTAAATTTTAGTTACTAATCAGTGTTTGTGATTCCAAAGGCATTACATCTGAATATATAGTTTTGGGTAAAGACTTTAGAATAATAATCATCCTGTTACTTTGCTTTTCATCTTTTTGTCACGCTGAAGTGCCTCCTTTTGGCATATTTCCGGCCGACGTGGGTCAGCAAAGTTGTTGGGACAAATTTAAGTGCGATACCGTCATGGGTAGGGTGGCTAACAAGGAGCTATGTCTAGATAGGCTCCATTCATCTGGCAGCATGGGTTAAATTTAGAATGTTATTTCTGATTGGTTCTCTTGTTTGACTTTCATCTGTCAATCAGATCGACAGACATTGCTCTAAGCAGCCTGAGTCTGCCACGCCTGTCTCTGAGCGGCCGACAACGCCGTGGCAGCAGGTCATGTGGTCAGACAAGAATGCTTTTCAGTGTTGGAAGTTCAAGCCACTGTAATAGCTGTCACAGCACTCTCAGGCACAGGACAATTTTCTTTCTGTTTGCACCTATTTAACTGAAGTAGAGCTGAAACAATTAATCAGTTAGTTGATTGAAATAAAATTTAAGCTATTGATAATCACTTAATAGTTTGAATCATCGTTATTTACTTAATTTTGTATATATAGACAAGTAATGAACTAACCAAGAAAGTAATCAGCAGATGAAGCAGGAAATGAAGCAGATCATGTAACTGCTATTATTTTGTACTGATAACACGCTTTAAAAATGTCTGAGGGCAGTTGCACATTGTTACTTGCTTGATCTTATGCTGTGGTTTCAGGTTAATCACTATGCATCCTTATTAACTATGCACTGCTTTGCACCTGAATTAGCTAACGACTGATTTTGTCATCATCTAATATATTTAATTGTTTGTGTCTGCCCACATTACTCTACCATGAGAGCAACTTCAGTTTCTGGTAAAAATAATCTCAGTTGGAGTTGCAGCCTTCTGGGACGATGGCACCCATACTGCATGGGTTGAATTTCTGCCTGTGTATAATTGTGGAGGCGAAGGTCGTGGCTGAAAGAAGCCACATCCAAACAGCAGCCATTTTAATTTGTTTGACAGTGAAGAGAGGTGATAACCTCCCTCTGCAGCTGCACACCCAGAGGGGGGTGGGGGGTGGGGAGGCAGACAACAAGGAGCAAGAGAGAGAAAACAGGATGGAGGGCTGAGCAGAATGTCGATAAGAGACTGGATAGAGAGAGTGAGAAAACGAAAGGAAGAGAGCTGGGAAGGAGAGTGTAATATTTGATTATGGCTCAAGGCTGTATGTTTATCCGAAGGCTAAAGACTGTCAACCAGCTAATCGCAGGGGTTGATATGTGGGTGTGTCTGTATGTGTCTGAAAGCATGTGAGCCGGTGTGGGTCATTCCTATCAGCGCATAATTTATGCCGAGTACACGTGTCTGTGTGTACGTTACGATTTCTGGATGTCAGTTACACTTCTGTGGGCCTGAGGAGAATACAGTAGTCTCCCTCAGGGTGCTGTTAGTGCCACTCTCATACAGATGTGCTGGTCTGCCACTGTGTCAGTTTCTGTGTGTGTGTGTGTGTGTGTGTGTGTGTCCTTCTCTTTTAGGAGACTAAACTTATTCCTCTGGGTTTATAATGTTGGATATTGATAGGATCTGGTTATTACTGAATTCTGCTTTTAATTCATTGTCAAATTGTTTAAAGAAGAAAAATTGTTAAATATGAACATACCATTAATTTTTAATACATATCTATAAATAGATATTTGCCACAAGTGCAGCTTTGGTCTCTTTGCATTGGTGCACATAACCAGTATTGTAGGGGTGCAGTCGGTCCAAATGTTGTTTTTTCAAAAATCACAATGTGAATTTAAATAACGTGTTTCAGTATAAATCCTTTGTTCTTCTGAGTTTAGAAACTGTTGCTTTTTCTTGTATCTGCGTGGTTAATAAGAATAATTGAACTTAGATGTTTGCCTTTTTAAGAAAACTGCATTTGACAAAAACTACTGAAAAATAACACGATAATGTTTGCTTGTAAGACTTTGGTCAAAATGTTAAAATGTACTTGAAATACACGTTTCAGTACAATTTTATTAACAGGATGAAAACAGTTGCTGTTGCAGTATTTCAAAATGCTTTTTTTACTGGCAGATGCTGAAGAAGAGGAGGGTACCTGGTTGGTTTCTGACAAGGACATGGAGGTAGGTGGCATGTAACAGCTTTATTGTATGTAGTATACAGTGTGACGCTCAGCTACTCATGTCTTCCTATGTCTTTTTACAAAATACTTGGTGCTTGTGGTCTAAAGGATGAAAAGGGGAAAGGGAGAGGAGATTTGTAAAGTCACCAATTAAAGTTTTTTATCAAACAACAAATACCGTACATTCATTTGGCATTTTATTAGGTATACCTAGCTAAAAATAAAGCAGTCTAGTTGTTGAATTGTATTGTTATATACCATAGACTGTATATAAAAATGGGCGATGCCAGAATATTTTGATTATGGTGGCTGCCATCTTGGCATGCTACAACCAGATCTTGATAGTATCTACCTAAAACAATAGAAATCATCTTTGGGAAAGATATATTTGATTTTTACTTTTTTAATCTTAATTTGGCTCATGTTCCATCGGCTAATATGGAGGGGGCAGGATTTATGACCTATACTGCAACCAGCCACCAGGGGTGATCGGCTGGTTGTGGTTTCACTTGTGGGAGCTCTCAGGTTTTCCGTCTTTATATACAGTCGATGCATCATACTGACACTTGAGACAAACAACCACACACACTCACACTCACTCCTATGGGCAATTTAGTCACACAGTCATCCTAAGCTGCATGTCTTTGGACTGTGGGAGGAAGCCGGAGTACCTGGAAAGAACCCACGCAGGCACAGGGAGGACATGCAAACTGCAGGATGAGCTACAGCCACCAGAATGATCATACAGTTTAATCAACACCTCTAAAATACAGTTTTAATAAAAACTGAACATCATTGTCTTTATGAAGGAGCATTAATTACAAGACTGCTAACTCTACCTACAAAAGTGCAAACAGTGTATTTTGCAATTCTCAAATTATGCACAATGCCAGTGCTTGGTTATTTAGGACTGATTCAGTTTTAAACCAAAATAATAATTAAGAACGTGTGTGTAATCTTTAAAAAGAAATTAGTTTTGCTGTTATGAGGGGATATTGTTACCTGTATTACAGCATGAAGCTTTTTTTTTTTCTTAATCGCAGTGAGTTAGAACATTATATTAATGGACTAATATTAAGGGTAGTTCATGGAGCCTAACACCAGCAAGATGATGTTAACGATGCAATAACTGTGTGTGTTTCAGGCTCAGATCTACAACAAAGACAGGGGTGCTAGGAAAGCAGTGCAGCATCTGTCAAACAGATACTATACTGACAAGAACGTCCACTGCAGAAACTGCAACAAGATTGGGCATCTCTCCAAGAACTGCCCTGAGCCCAAAGTCAGTTCCACTCAGTGCACAGCAGCATGTACAGCTTATACACACTGACAAGCACCAGTACGTAAAGCTACTAACAGTGTTATGTGTTTGTGTGTGTGCAGAAGTTGTCGCCCTGCTTCCTTTGTGGCACCACAGGTCACCTTGCCATTGAATGTCCCAACAAGCACTGCAACAACTGCGGACTGCCCGGTCATCTGTACGGGTCCTGCAGTGAGCGTGCGTACTGGCAGAAACAGTGCCATCGCTGTGGCATGACAGGACACTTCTATGACGTAAGTATTGCATTGTGTTTTCTTAGGTTGTAGAACACATTTGAAGGCAATACAGGTATTTACAACAAAAGCCAAATGTGCCTTCATCACAGCAAATTCACTACATGGCTGTACAATCCTCCACCGTTGTGTAAAGGTTTTCCACAAAGTTTTGGAAATTGGCATTAGTGTAAATGGGTAAGGTAATGAACGCTGCGCTGAGATAGCGTTCAAACTCAGAAAGCCTTTCTATGTGCACAGGGGCGCTGTCATTCAGAGACTGGAAATGGCCATTCTGCAGTCTTTCTACAAAGTTAGAAGGACACCATTGTCTGAAATAGGATTGTATACAGTAGCATTAAGAGCTTCCTAAATTGGAACTAGGACCACGCTCAACTGAGTAGAGCCCACCTGTGGTATATATAATGAAGGTACATGGTGTAGTAACAGATTTATCAAAATGCATAGGAAACCCTAGAAATATTTATCATATGCCCAGAAGATAAATCAGAGCTAAAACTGTTAGGCAATCTCAATATGAATATAAATATACAGTAGTAAATAGAGTGGAATGAAGTACAGC